TACGCTTCCCAGATGTGCTGGTGAGATCGCGCCCGGAAACTCCACCTGTCTTCCGTATCTCTTGCGTGGCTAATGTATCGTGTGACTGCAGCCATAGTAAAGTTTTTGTTTCTTTACATTCTCTGTCAAATTATGAGTGTATAGGGTTTTCTAAATTAGTTGTACTTCTGCCTGGGCATCCTGCATTAACGCTCAGTGATTCAGAAATATAAGATATTAGAGAACTGTAGACTGACACAGATGCAGTAGTGTTGGATGCACTTATTAGGAAGGATCTATACTTAGCAGCAAGGCCAGATTTTAGGAGTTGTTGAGTTTTCCCTACTATACGATCATTCCAAGGAATTCTAGGTAGTAAATCAGTCTCAGAGAGTTGTGAGATCAGGTTACAAGAAGGATAAGTACGGGGGGCCAACTTGAAGACTTAAAATTAGAGGGAAATGATCGTTAATAATAAAATAATCTATTGCAAAATCTTTGACATGCAGTTTCAAGTGAGGGAGAAATTAAACCATAATCGATTATGCTACAGCCCCTTGGGAGACAAAAGTAAATTCTCCAGAGTTTGGGAAGCCAATCAGACCATTTAGCCAGAATCTGTTGAACTGCATGCAGAATCTGGCAAGACATATACCTGCTGGGTTTGAAAAGTTATCTTTAGAATGTCTTGGATAGGAAAAAGCAGGTGGAAGGATATTGTCTTGATTGACATCAAGAGCTTTAAAATATGCTGCAATCCCTTCCTACTCTAGCGTTAAAATCACCCGCTACAATTATTTCAGTAGACGAAAAATTCCTCTGTAATTCCTTCATAATTGTGGCCAAGTGTTCCTAACATTGAGAAAGAGTTAAACTGTCTAAAGAGGATGGTACATATATATTCACAATAATTAGAGAAGATTTACCAAGGACAAGATTGATGGCCTGCACCATAGGACTAGTCATCTTTAGAGTGATATATTCCGAGAAGAGATATGAGGAGACAAAAACAGACAATCCTGCTTGGAAGCGACACCTTGTATTACTTCTGAAGGCAGGAAGGGTATAGGACTTATACCCTTCAATCTGAATCTGGCATGGAGACCAAGTTTCTTGGACTAGTATGACCTCAAACTGATTGAGGTAGCTAATAAATTCAGCATCCTTGCCCTTAATTCACCAGCTAGCCACATTCCAAAAGATGATCTTAATATCCAAGGTGGTAGGGAATTTAGATGGCGATGGTGTAGAAGTTATGAGTCAGTCTCCTTTGGTTAGTTGTTCAAGGGTACTGTTGGTGTCATATAGACCCATTGCCCTGCTCTTTGCCTAAGGACAATTCTATTGAGGATACTTTGGCTAAACAATCATAGGAAGGCACTTTCTGGACCAGAAATTATTACCAGTGAAACACTACTTGGCATGTGATTGCATCATTTGTACTTTTATTCTGTGCCTAGTGGTTTCATTTTGGAACAATTTTCATCTGGTCCTTCTTGTACTTATATTTTATATTTGTATGATTGTACTGTACTATTATATAAGCCAATATGTCCCACACTGTGTTTGACCTCTGAAGAAGACCTATGCAGGCTGAAACGCCTCAGGTCAAGTCCATTAGCCCTTGTGTGTTAGATTCTGTTATTTTTACATGAGGTGTGATTGGGCCCTTATATATTTTTTAATTCTTTGTTAATAAATACATGTATCTGTAATGAAAGTCAGAAACCATTTTTCTTGCTTGTTTAAAAGGTTGCTTGAAATTCTTTGGTTCAGGCTTCGAGCCTGGTAAGGCCCTAAACTGCCTCACAGAGTGTGCTTATGAGAAGCTAAGAGGTGCATGGAATTTTCCCTAGAGACAGAGATAAGGAGACGCTCAATGTCCTTGAGTGTTCACAGCTCCCTTTGCTCTTCAGTACCGGCCTGTGAGCAATTAGCCAATTAGTGCCTTCCAGAATACTTAGCACCTGTGTGTAGGGGGTACCGAACCTTTACAGTTGTATTTAGGTTTTGATTCTCTCAGCTCACAAATAAGTATTATGGACTATCATGGTCACCCTGGTTACGAGCGAAGTTGACATCACTTTGCAGGTCTGTGAGTGGTCAAAGGCCTAGGCTGCTCAGAGACCTTAATTCCTATAAAGTAAGCCTTTAGTCAGTGACTATTAGGATTGCTGGGGTGTTGGGCCTAGTCTGGTCAATACTCCATGCAACCCCACTATTGGCATCATGCTTTGATACCACCTGGATGGGTTATGTGTTTGGGCTATCTTTGTCATCTTGGACACTTGTACTTTTAAACCTGAAACGGGTAACCTTTGCAACTGCTTGTAAGTATTAGCTATGCTGGTGAAGCTTAGTGTTTGTTATTTTTCCTCACTGCCTAAAAAAAACCTGTGGGGGAGGTGTTGGCTGGCGAATGGAATGTCCAGCTCGGAAGCCTGATAAAAAGACCTCTTTGGCATTAAGAAGCCTGTAATGGGCCAATCTGGCCAGGCAGTGGCAGTGCGGCGCTACGATTCAAAGCAGCCCAGGAAGAACCAACGTCATCAAGCGAAGCTGAAAGTGAATGCCTCCGGAACACATCTGAAGCTTACAGCTGAACAAAAATCCCCGTCGGCTGCAAAATGTGTGCGATTTAAAGAATTATATGTTGTCCTCCCTTACCCCTATGAAATTGTTAGTCCCTTGTGTGAAACCGTGTAACTGTAAATCACTCAGAGCCAGCAGCTCTGCCGGATTGAGCGATCAATAACTCGAAATGTATTATTATTGTTGTTGTTGTTGTTGTTGTTATTAAAGTCTTGTGTTTTACTTAAACTTGCACAGTTACTTAATAAAGAAATTATATTTTTACTTTGTCTTGGTTTTGGACTTCTTGAACCTCAAAGGCTAAATCTATTGCCTTGGACCGTAAGCTGTTACTACTACCAACCTTTTGTCTTAGCTCAGTCTGTAGTTTACTCTGCAAGACTGACCTCTGTATTAAGTTCCAGAAGCCAGCCTGGAGACTTTGGTCATTTTCCTCCAGACCTGTTGGGAACTAAGAAATGACCTGGTGGCAAAACTACCTTTGTAATCAGGAGGGATGAATTAGAATTCCTTCAGTATTTTGGTAAAAGTGTTATCTGTTCTGTTCTTTGAACCACGACTCTGTACCTGGAGGGATCAGCGTCCGTGACAGTATCTTTTTATATACTATAGATATATTAAGCTTTTATTGTTGGCCCTCTTTGACTATTTGACTAACCTTTTCAAATTCTGGATCCCAGGTTTCTAGGTTCAGTCCCCCCCCCCTTTTGTCCTGGACCAACAAAGTGACATTTATGTCCGATAAGAGTTCGACATCTCTGAGCTCAGCAGTTACATAGTGTGGGTTCTTTGATGTTCTTCAAGAAAGCCACTCTGACTGAATCTCTTTCCACATTCTGAGCATTCAAAAGGCTTCTCCCCTGTGTGGGTTCTTATATGTTGTTGAAGAGTGCTACTGTGACTGAATCTCTTCTCACACTCTGAGCATTCCAAAGGCTTCTCCCGTGTGTGAGTTCTTAGATGTGTATGAAGATGGCCACTGCAACGGAACATCTTCCCACACTCTGAGCATTCAAAAGGCTTCTCCCCTGTGTGGGTTCTTAGATGTTGTTGAAGAGTGCTACTGTGACTGAATCTCTTTTCACACTCTGAGCATTCCAAAGGCTTCTCCCGTGTGTGAGTTCTTAGATGTGTATGAAGATGGCCACTGCAACGGAACATCTTCCCACACTCTGAGCATTCAAAAGGCTTCTCCCCTGTGTGGGTTCTTAGATGTTCTTGAAGAGTGCTATTTCGACTGAATCTCTTCCCACAATCTGAGCATTCAAAAGGCTTCTCTCCAGTGTGAGTTCTTAGATGTTCTTGAAGAGTGCAACTGCTACTGAATTTCTTCCCACACTCTGAGCATTCAAAAGGCTTCTCCCCTGTGTGGGTTCTTAGATGATTCTGAAGAGTGCCACTTTGACAGAATCTCTTCCCACACTCTGAGCATTCAAAAGGCTTCTCCCCTGTGTGGGTTCTTATATGTTGTTGAAGAGTGCTACTGTGACTGAATCTCTTCTCACACTCTGAGCATTCCAAAGGCTTCTCCCCTGTATGTGTTCTTAGATGCTCTTGTAGATGGCCATTGCGACTGAATGTCTTCCCACACTCTGAGCATTCAAAAGGCTTCTCCCCTGTGTGGGTTCTTATATGTTGTTGAAGAGTGCTACTGTGACTGAATCTCTTCTCACACTCTGAGCATTCCAAAGGCTTCTCCCCTGTATGTGTTCTTAGATGCTCTTGTAGATGGCCATTGCGACTGAATGTCTTCCCACACTCTGAGCATTCAAAAGTCTTCTCCCCTCTGTGGGTTCTTAGATGTTCTTGAAGAGTGCTATTGCGACTGAATCTCTTCCCACACTCTGAGCATTCGAAAGGCTTTTCCCCTCTGTGGGTTCTTAGATGTTCCTGAAGATGGTCACTGCGACTGAATCTCTTCCCACACTCTGAGCATTCAAAAGGTTTCTCCCCTGTGTGCGTTCTTGAATGATTCTGAAGATGGCTACTCTGACTGAATCTCTTCCCACAGTCTGAGCACTCAAAAGGCTTCTCTCTTGTGTGGGTTCTTAGATGAATACGAAGATGGCCACTGCAACTGAATTCCTTCCCACACTCTGAGCATTTAAAAGGCTTCTCCCCTGTGTGGGTTCTCAGATGCCTTTGAAGATGGCCACTGTGACTGAATCTCTTCCCACACTCTGAGCATTCAAATGGCTTCTCCCCTGTGTGGATTCTTTGGTGAACAAGGAGCTGTGATCTGTATTTGAAATAGTTTCCACACCAAAAGCATTTACAGGCATTCGTTATACTGCGCTTTGGAAAATGTTTATTACCTTTTCTTCCCATAGAGAACCTTATTCCTCTCTGTGAGCAAATACATTTCTTCCCTCCTGAATAAATCCTTTGATGTTGAACAAGGTCTGATTTCTCTGAGAATCTCTTGCCACAGTCTGAGCAGCTATATGGTCTCTCTCCTCTATTCATTCTTTGAAGTCCACGGAGCTCTGCTTTTCGAATCATGGTCTTTCCACACTCCAGCAATTGATCTGTCTTCTTTCCACTGTGCATTTCTAAATGGACATTATACTGAGATTGATCTGAGAAGTTCATTCCACACGCTCTGTACTTGTATGTTTCCTTCTCCATGTGAATTACTTCTTGGAAATCTATGCTTTGGCTAGGAATGGGTTTACCCCTCTTCATTATGATGTGGCTTCTTTTCTGCCTCTTAGGTCTAACTTGGTTTCTGAAGTTTCCTCCCCAGTCTTCATTCTTGACTTCATCTGGCAATAGAGGATGCAGTTCCTCATCCTCCTCATCCCTCTCATCATCCCCTGCTGGAATAAAGAGAGAGATCCTTTTAGAATATACACAAGGAAGTCTAACCTGCACCTGAATTTCCAACCGCAAACCAAACATTACAGTGGCTTTTTCCCGCTGTATGCTGAAAAGTACAATAACATTCAGTTTAAAAGTACTGGGCATGGACCAGGGGTCACTGGGGATGTGGGGGAAAGGTATTTGTGAATTTCCTGCATTGTGCAGTGGGAATCTCTTCAATAACACACAACCCCGCTCTCTTGGGGTGAGGACTGATTCCCATCAGCACAACTGAGGGTGCTGTGTGATTTGGCATTAGCCACTTGCCCTTGGATGACAGTGTTAACTGGTGGGACTACCTGCTGGAGACCACCCAAGAAAGGTAGAAAGGCTCCAAAGAAAGCACTCAGACCTGTCTCTACCTAAAAGGAAGGCATGAAGACATTCAGGGGACCACTGTAGAAATGGCTATACATGCCTTTAGCCTTGTTCTTAGGTTCTTAGGTAACCCCACCTCTTTTCCTGGAGTATCCAGTATTTAAGGGCAGTGCAACCACTCAAGAGCCACAGCTGAGCTCAGCCCCAGAAGGCACTTCCGAGGCCCCAGATCCCAGGCCCCAGAAGGCCTCCCTCCCTCCTTACCCAGTGGGCTTGAGAATTCTACCAAACCAAGAGTTGTTTAGAAGTGTAGAGAAAAGGTCCCATGGCTATATCTCGCCCAGTCCTATGACATAATTGTGAAAGATACTCACTTGCAAGTAGTTCATTTGGGTAGGTAATACTCTCTTGTGATCTTCCTGAGAATCTCTCCAGCCATTCTTCAAACACAGGGCTTTGGTCCGTCTCCACCATACTCTCTTGTCCATTCCTGGCTTCTTTGGCAGAGAGAGAGAGAGAGAGAGAGAGAGAGAGAGAGAGAGAGAGAGAGAGAGAGGACATGTCTATGTAAAAAAACACTCTCGTGTGCACATTGTTTGTCTCTGAGAGAGAGAGAGAGAGAGAGAGAGAGAGAGAGAGAGAGAGAGAGAGATCATATCTATGTGGGGAAGGAAAGAACTCCAAGGGTGAGGGCCACAACACTGGCCATACTGAACTATCCTTTTCACTGCCACCCCACCTCCTTGAGGCCCCCCCAGGGGGGAGGTAGCCAGGCAGACCTCACAACCGCATGTTGTTGTTCAATATTTTAATTCATGCATCATCCCAATGGCAGCAATTCACATGTTTGGCACCTATGAAAGGTCCTTACCCAGAGAGGCCACGTTTCCATAATTCTCCAGCATGACATCCCTGTAGAGAGCTCTTTGGCCCGGAGCCAGCAAGGCCCACTCGGCCTCGGTGAAATACACGGCCACCTCCTCAAAGGAAAAGGGAGCCTGAAAGGAAAGGCAGATTCCCTTGTCAGAGATCAGTCCAGGCAGAGACTGCACTCTCCACAGGGGCATTCTGGGAGGGTTCAGGATGCAGAGTTTGGCATGCGTCAAGAGAGTGCAGTTCAGAGCCTCTCTCTGCTTGGTCAGCAGAACCAAAAGCCTCTCCCAACCTTTCCCCCCCCACCTGGACCGGAGGTGGAGCACCCATTTCCACTCCTCTGAAAAGACAACAGCTTGACAACATCTCTTCACTGCCTGCAAGGGAGACAAAATGGGAAGGATGAATGTTAACCACACGTTCCTATTTTCTTTTCTTCTTTGAATTCTGCTTCAGACATCCCTGTTCCCAGGACTGTGAAACCTTTTTTTCTTTACACTCCAGAAAATTTGTAATGACTTTTAGAAAGGTGTCGAAGAGGTGGAAGAGAAGCACCCGGTTCCCATGAGCCTTTTGGTTTTATATACGCTGCCAACACTCCTTTGAGGCTTGAAATGTGCCCTGCTGGATCCGACCAAAAGCCCAGGAACCCCATTTTCCCCACCTGCTGTGCCCTCCCACCCATCCTGGATTCTGGGCTGGCAGGAGAAAAAGAGGGGACCAGAAACCACATCACATGACACATCGCCATCACATCCAGCGCAAAACCCAGATGTGTTTTAGTGAATCAGCCAAGGCTCTGGGACTTTAAGGTACCACCAATGGGTTTCCAGGATGCCTGCTGATGCTCTGACTTCACATCCAGGTATTCGGTGAAATGAGACATTGACATGACATCAGAATCAACCCAAGCTCCACACTCCAACCGCATGGGGGTACCCGGCCATGCCGTGCATCTGTACTCCTGTATCTTCTCTCTCACTGTGGCCTGCCAGATGCCCCAGGAAAGCCTTCAAGCAGGGGCACAGAACCCACACTATTGCCCCCTAGCAATGTGGTTTCAGAGGTCTACTGCCCCAGAATATGGAGGGGGGGAGTGTCTGTAAAGTGCTGTGAAGTCACAGCTGACTTATGGTGAACCCACAAGTTATTCAAGGCAAGAGACCTTCGGAGGTGGTCTGCCATTGCCTGCCTCTGCATAGCAACCCTGGACTACTTTGGTGGTCACCCGTGCGAGAAACCACCAGGGCTGACCCTGCTTAGAGTCTGAGATCCAAGGAGAATGGGCGAGCCTCGGCCATCCAGGTCTGTGGAATGTGGACATTCCGTTTATTCACCATGGCTAATAGCTGCACCCTCATTTCTCTTCCTTTCCCTTCCTGAGCCACACTGAGACCCTCGGAAAGGAAGAGATCCACATTTTAATTAATGTAAATAAGAATGGAATTGCCCTCCATGAATCTTACTTCCCTTTTAAAGTAAAGTGGCCATCACGACATCCTATGGCACTCTGTGTCCCAGAACTCCATTCTATGTAGTCTGCAAAAGTATTCCCCTTTTCTCCTGTCCTGAACCTTCTGCTCAACAACTTGACTAGGTCCCCTGATCCCACCTGGGCAGGAGGCACCCTTACCGCTTGACAGGGCATCTCGGGCATCCTCCTGGGCCTGCGCCCTCTGCCTTTCCTCTGATGGAGCACCTTCTTCCTCAGAGAGCTTCGCTTCCATCTTCACGGATCGTCCCCACATCTGAAACAACAACAACGGAGGAAAGTAAGAGGAGGAATGGAAATATCTAGTGAAACATCTAGAGGTAGAGATATCTAAGAAAAGATGGGAACAACACACTGAGGAATTATACTAAGGAGATGAAAATATGAGATTCCTTTCCAGAAGAATCTTTTGAAGAAGAACCAACGGTTTTGGAAAGTGAAGGGAAAGCTGCATTGAGAGCAACTGGGAGAAACAAATCACCAGGAGAAGATGGGATATCAATAGAAGTATTCTAAGGAACAGAAAAGGAGTCCTTCAAAATCTTAACAAGAATATGCTAATAAATATGGAAAACAAAACAATGGGCCGTAGACTAGAAACACTCACTTTACATTGCTATTCCAAAAAAAGGAGACATCAAAGACTGCAGCAACTGAACCGTTGCATTAATTTCTCATGGGAATAAAGAGATGCTCAAAATCTTAAAACAAAAACTTTTACCGTACATGGAATGAGAAATGCCAAATGTTGAAGCTGGATTCAGAAAAGGATGAGGAACTTGTGCTCATATTGCAAATTTAGACCAGTTATTGGAGCAAAAGAGAGAATTTCAGAAGCAAATCAGCTTGTGTTTCATGGATTACAGCAAAGCGTTGGACTGTGTGGATCATGAAAAGCTATGGCTGGTTTAAAAAGAAATGAGTCTGCCACGACATCTGTTTGCATTGATGCACAACCTGTACTCTGGACACGAGGCCACTGTTAGGACAGAAGATGGAAAAACAGACTGGTTTCTAAATTGGCGAAGGTGTCAACAAAGCTTTGGACTGTGTGGATCATGAAAAGCTATGGCTGGTTTAAAAAGAAATGAGTCTGCCACGACATCTGTTTGCATTGATGCACAACCTGTACTCTGGACACGAGGCCACTGTTAGGACAGAAGATGGAAAAACAGACTGGTTTCTAAATTGGCGAAGGTGTCAAACTACAACATATTTTATCTCCCTTTCTCGTCGATCTATATGCAGAACATATAAGGAAAGCTGGATCAGATATAGATGAAGGAGTTATAATTGGAAGAAGGAACAGTAACAATTTGAGATTTGCAGATGACACCACATTACTGGCAGAGAATAGTGAGGCCTTGAAACAATGATCATTGTAGGGTAAAGCAGAAAGCGCCAAAGCGGGATCACAGCTGAACATCAAGAAGACAAAAGCCTGGAATTTCAGAAATGTAGGGTTAATGATGAAGAACTTGAAACGGCTCAAGATTCTCTGTTCCTGGGCTCCATCGTCAACCAAACATGAGACAGCAAGCGAGAACTCAGGAGACTGAGGCTGGGAAGGGCAGCCCAGAAGGAGATAGAAAAGATTCTCCAGTGTGAGGATGTGTCACTGGTGACCAAGACAGAGTTAATTCATGCCAGAGTATTCCCCATTACTGTGTCTTGGGAAGAAGAGGAGGAGGAAGAATAAGAATTGGATTTATACCTTGTCCTTTACTCAGAGACTCAGAGCGGCTTAAAATCTCCTTCCCTTCCTCTCCCCACAACACACCCTGTGAGGTAGGTGGGGCTGAGAGAGCTCTGAGAGAACTGCTCTTGAGAGAACAGCTGAGAGAACTCACCAAGGGTCACCAACTGGCTGCATGCTGGTGACCTCAACTCTCTCTAGAAGATAAAATGACTAAAATTAGGCTATCGTACTTTGGTGACAGTATGAGAAGAGAAGAGTCACTGGAAAAGACAATAATGCTAAGAAAAGTTGAAGGCAGAGGGAAAAGAAGACCAAACATGGGATGGACTGACTCAATCAAGGAAGCCACGGCTCTCAGTTTGTAAGACCTGAGCACGGCTGCTAATGATGGGACGTTTTGGAGAATATTAATTCATAGGGTCGCTACAAGTTGGAAGCAAAGTGACGCCAGTCAACACGCACGCACACAGAAATATCTGACAGGGAAGCCTTAGGAAAAGGTCACTGCTTGACCTGAGTGCATGAAAACCCCTCACCTGCTCTGCCTGCCTCTTCTCCTCTGCCTGACTCAGGAGGAAACCTTCGGCCAGGGCCACCGCCTGGGAACTGGTCTCTGGCCCGCATCCTCTGACCCAGCCCTGCATGTCCTGGGGCAGGACGGCCAGGAACTGCTCCAGGATCACCAGGTCCAGGATCTGCTTCTTGGTGTGCCTCTCCGGCTTCAGCCAGTAGTTACAAAGTCCATGGAGCCGGCTGCAGACCTCTCGGGGCCCATCGGCCTCGTGGTAACAGAACTTCCTGAACCACTGTCCATGTACATCTGAGGTGTCCTTAGCCAAGAACTCTGGCACACCTCTTTCCCAAAATTCAGTACTGCTCCTGGCTGGGATGGGATGGGGACCTTTGCTCAATCTCTTGCCAGTTCCAGGGCCTTCTGGGTTCTCCTCGTCCATCTCCTTCCCCTTTCTCTTGGGTTTCCTCTGACTGTGGAAAGACACTCTTATTCACTTGCCTATGAAAAGGGAGAGGGAAGGTATTAAAAAGGCAAAAAGAAACCAAAAGAGAAAGGAGTTATATCACTGACCCTGGACAAGAGACATCTAAGTGGATCAGAAGGATAGTCCATTTTGTAGTTTGCGGATCAGGAATAATGTCACTGGGTTGTATTAAGTATCAAGCTTTTTAGGATATTGTTGTTTGTTCCTTCAGGAAGGAAAAACCTCTCTATTGGGCTCTTTAAAAATCTACAGTGGATGTTATGAGCTTGGCCTCCGATTCCTGGGGACCAGTCTGTCTAGTGGGTGCAACTCCAGGTAAAATGGAGCCCAGGACAAAGCGAGTGGGAAGGGCTTAACCATTGTAGCTGGCGGAGGGGAGGGGGCAGAGGGGCCTCTCCAGGCCAGGGCACAGGGGCTGCTGGGGGGCAAACAGGAGCAGGAGGAGGAGGCAGGGATGGGGCAGAGGTTCTCAACGGCTTCCTGGCTACTGTGGTTTATTGGCTAAGAGTGAACAAGTTGAAACTGAACCCTGGAAGGACAGAAGTCGTACTGGTTGGGAAAGCAGAAGTCTTGAAGGACGTTGTGTTCCTCACTTTCAATGGGGTTCAGGTGACCCTCGCCGACTCACTTAAGAGCCTCAGTGTTATACTGAACCTAAACTTATTGCTGGAGAAGCAACTTAATGCGGTTGCAAAAAAAAGTTACTCCCAACTCAGCCTAGCTCGAAAAATGGCCCCTTCCCTTGATAGAGTTGATCCGGCCACCAAGATCCATGCCAAAGTGACATGGAGACTAGACTAGATCAATGCCCTGTACATTGCATGAAACCAACTCAGAAACTCCAGCTGGTGCAGAACGCTTGGGCTCTGCCATTTTCAGGAGCTGAATGGAGCAGGCGAATTACTCCCCTTCTGCAGTCCCTCCGCTAGCTGGCCTGGACAGGGGCCTTCTCCCTTCTGGCCCCCACGAATGGTCTGCCTGAGGGGGTCAGGAAGGCACCCACTCAGCCGGCTTGCCGCAAACTAAGCAAAACTGAATTATTCAAGAGGGCTGTTGTGTACTAATGGTGACAGCGGTTGCCTTTGACACGTGGCCATGCGAACTAGCCTAGCTTCGCATTCCAAGACAATAGAAGGAGAGGATCCTAGAACCAGCCTATCGGCTTGTCCGGATCCTCAGGGGAACCTATGGTTGCAGTAACACTGTAAATAATCCTATCACAGGTGTGGGTGGGTGTGTTGGGTGTGGTTTGTACTTATATTTAAAGTGGGCCTCTGGCTGGCTATGGCATCTCCAGTTTTCTGGAGCTGAAATCACTATACTATGCTTCAGTCTCAGTACTTTATAAGGGCTTTTCTAAGCAAGCAATAGGGTCGCACTGGACAAAAGGCTTCACAGGGTTACTTGGATATATCATTAGGAGTCTAAATAACTGTTTTTTGATTGTTGTAAGTAGGATACTATTATGCCATGTTATTTTATTTATTTATTTAGTCTATTTATACCCCGCCCTCCCCACGAGCAGGTGGACTATTCAAGAGGACTTCTCTAAGCAAGCAATAGGATAGCGTTGGACAAAAGGCTTCAGAAGGTTACCTGGGTACATCTTTAGGGCATCTAAATGACTGTGCTGAGTTTGCTGTAATTAGGATCTTACTGTGCCACCTTAACATTTATACTTTCCTTCAATGATGTTTCTCAGCTTTCTGGTCAGTTCTCCAACCCAAATTCTATTGCATAGTTTATTATATTGAAAGTATTAATGATATAGAGTCCCACTAAAGGGCAGACTATAAGAAATGTAAATAAATAAAATAAGGTCAATAACCCCTCCGGCGGAAATTGCAGATGGGGGGAGCACCGCCCCAAAGGCGAGGTATTTGGGCAGCGACTCCTGCAGTTCAGTGTCTTAACCACTTGAGCCACCGCAGCCTTTAGTTTGCTGTAGTTAGGATCCTACTATGCCACCTTTTGCTGTAGTTAGGATCCTACTATACTTTTTAAAAATAAATTTATAACATTATACTTTCTTTCAATGTTTCTCAGCTTTCTGGTCAGTTCTCCAACCCAAATTCTATTGCATAGTTTGTTGTATTGAAAGTATTAATGATATAGAGTCCCACTAAAGGGCAGACTATAAGAAATGTAAATAAATAAAATAAGGTCAATAACCCCTCCGGCGGAAATTGCAGATGGGGGGAGCACCGCCCCAAAGGCGAGGTATTTGGGCAGTGACTGGAGCATAAGGGTTCCTCCCCTGCGATCACACCTGGAATGTCTTCCTGGGTCTCCCTCCGACCTCCCTGGCGAAAAATTTATGTCAATTTCCAAAACTCAGATCTTCCCTTTCAGCCCCTGCTGGGGGCACCACGGAGGCTAGCAGAGGAAAACATCCTCAGAAAATCACCTTTTAAAGCTACTGAACTCCCCCACCCCCAGCCACACGACAGTGAAACGTCTGTCTTCCGAGACGGAGATGACTTCAAGTAAAGGTGAAGGTTTCCCTTGCTCGAAAGCCAGTCGAATCCGACTCTAGGGTTGCGGTCAATGCTCCCTCTA